CAAATCATCAGTCTTTATAAATTTTTTAGTTCTGCTGTTTATTGAATCAGTGGTGTCCCTTCAATATGACAGGAACACACACATCCTACACCCGCCACGATTGCCACAGTTGTGACTTGGAGAACTACATACATTTTACCCCACTGAGGACAAATGATAAACTGCGTCACATATGGCCAAAGTGCTCCTTCACACATTTTCTACCTCAAAACTTATTGGCGACACGCATGCTCACAAAAAAGGTTCTCTCAACCATGCTCCTCCATGCATCAGTGGATCCAACTGAGCACACCCACACACTGGAGCTGCAGCTGCAGCCCATCAGTGCAATGACCAGTCTCATCACTGAGCTCACAACCATGCCCATAAAGCAGGCTTAATCACAACAATCAATCGTATCTCCTCATATTGCATCAGAAATGCTTAAAAGGGGAATGTGTAGCAAGCTCGAGAGCCAGTCAATGCTCTGAAATTTGAAAGAGTCAGAATTCTTGAACCTAGTGCTCAGGAACTCTTTTGCGCTAGTTTTAGAGAATTAAACTTGCATATGTAACGGATCCAGGATTGAATCCCAAGGTTATTATTATCTTCAAGGGCATGTAAAACTCATGCATTGCTGCATTTCCCATTGGCACTAATAGATGGTGACGTGAGCAAGCAACAGATACCTGAAGCCACCAAGGTCTGTCGTACAACATGATCACTGTAAATCCAAATCCTGCTCTTTTAACTATTAACTCAGTTAGTGTTATTATTTCAATTTGGAGTTTATCTAATACCTTTGTAATAATAATTTTCAAAGCTGCATTCCCCCCTTAATTTTTTATTGTTAGTAAAAACAAATTTGCAGACAGTTAAATTTAAAGTGAAATATAATAGAAATTAAATTCAGTGATATTTTTATTTTGCAGTTCCTAATTGAAAATGGTGAAATCAAAGTTATCTACCCATTTTTATCAGGGTAAAGATCAGCTCTATGTAATGATATCCAGTGAAACAAATGAAGTTATTTACAACAGAATGAAAGTTTTAGTAGAAATCTTTATGGGTCTGTTCTAAATTTTAGCTCAACCCCCAAAATGAATTTACTTTTCAATGGACTGTATTAGCAACTGAAGTGATAATGATCTTTCTTAGTTGTTTATTGAAACGCAACAATAAAGGATAAGTATTACATTATTAGAACTGATGTTCTTCCCAGTTACTTTTTGTGCCAGTTCGATGTGGTGTTAGTAAATGAAAAAAAGGAAGTTATCTGCCCAAGTTGGCATCATTATTTTTTTAATATAAGGTCACCAAGTTTTGCGTAAATATCATTAAAGGCAACATGAGTTCTAATTGAGAAAGCATTAAAATATCTTAAAGCCAGACTTTATTCAGTTTCCAAAGTAATTATTATTGCCAAATATTGGATTTAGAAATACAGTCAAAAGTCGTTAATCCGGACCTCAAAGCTGCATACTTTCTGCGCATGCGTAAACGCATGCGTAAACTTTCTGCGCATGCGTAATACTTTTACGCATGCGCGTTTAATGTATAACGGACGGTATAAGCTAAGCTAAAATTATCTAATTATGTATTTCAGTTAATGTTGTAGATTGCGTTGTTCCTAATTCTTCGAATTGGATCCGGCTTATTATTTTTTGCAGACTTTTAGAGGAATTTTATAAAAGTAAGCTTGAACTTTCGATTATGTCAAAAAGATTTCCGATGCTGGAGCTGCCAAAGGGTCTACAAAGCAAAAGCATGTTTCGATGTCCATCAAATAAAAAGTGGAATTCCTGCAAAAAATGGATAAAGCCATATCCTTTGTTTCTCTAACCATTCCAAAATCTGTTAAACAATTTCACGCTGCTCTGCCGGGGGGAGGGGGAATGTCGCGCTGCGAAATGAACTGGAAGTTGATCTGTCAGCACTATCCTTATCTTCAGGGCAGATGTTTTTATTTGATATTCGGCTTATAATTCCTTACTCTCGATGTACTCCGTCTTTGATATGATTTAAATCAAATTCCTCATCATTATAAATATCACGAATGCAAATCAAATAGTTTTCTGGTTGCAATTTTCTAATTTCGACTATGCGTAATGTATGCTTTAAGTATTATCACATAAAATGAAGCAACTTAAACAACTTACATTGAAATAAATGTTTAATAAAGTAAAGAAATAAATATTAAGCTTTTTTCTTTGTAAATTTTGATACCCTTTAAATCATAATTGCTCTTTATTTCATAAATTACAGTTTCATATTTTTAATTTTGTAATTTCTGCATGCTATCTTACCAGATTTAAACTGATGATCTATAATCCGGAAAAATCGTTTATCCGGAATCGAACTCCCGACGAGTCTGGTTTAAAGACTTTTGACTCTATTAGTTATGAGTAATCCTCCACAGTCCACTACTTACTGACATTTACATGCACTAATATATGGTGAAATTATTTTAAAAATTGTCTTGTCAGCTCTGGATTAGCCATGTTGATAACATTTTGCATTTTTCTTGATAACTATAGAGATATTTTTTCTTTATAAATTGGATCGATTTAGTCATTCAATTCACTTTTGAAACTGAATTGGACAATTCTTTTTTTCCTTGAAAAATTATTTGCAATGAATTTGATTTCATTACCATTTCCCCCCCCCATAAACCTTTTTCTGTTTTCTTGCCTTCTCATGCAAAGTTATGTGACAAAAACTAAATAATTTGAAATTCATTGCCATTGATGGAGGTTTTTCTGTTATGGTCACTGATATAGCCTTTTATTTTGTTTTCCCTCCTGTTACTATAAAAGTCATTTCTTTATTTGAAATAACTTAGCAGCTTTGTCATCAGCCTATTTCATCTTTCTGTTGGTAATAAAATTGCTCAAATTCTACACAAGTTTACTTTCAGGACATTTTCTATCTATCATTAAAATTAATGTTCAGTTCCTTAACCCCTTAGACGCTTCAGAGGCGTCGCAAGTTTATCGGACCAAACATGAATAAGACGCCTCAGAGGCGTTGCAAGGTTATCGACCCAAACATGAATAAGACGCCTCAGAAGCATCGCAAGGTTATCAGCCCAAACACGAAAAAGACGTCTCAGAGTCATCGTAACTCTACCAGGCGGAACATAAACAAAACATTTCAGAATGATAGGAGTTGATCGACAAGATCACATGCTAGCGTGCTTCCCTCTTATGAGAAAGTGTATGAAGGGGTATCGGAAAATTTTCTTTTACCTGTTTGACATGACGTTATTTAAGTCTTTCATTTTGCATAACAAGATAAATATTGAGAAAAGACAGGGATATACAGAATATAAGGTTAAAATAGCCAAATTATTATTGGAAAATACACCATTATGGAACTACAACGGTAAAGGACAGTTGTCAAGTGGAAATTTACCACTAAGATTGCAGGCTCAACAGTGGAGTCATTTTCCCAAACATATAGATCCAATGTCGAATCAACACCCAAAATGCAGATGTGTAGTTTGCACGTGTAAACAACGCAGAAAGACAACGTGGAAATGCAAAAAGTGTAAAATTGCATTACATGTACCAACATGTTTTGAGAGATATCATGCTGTCAAAGATTACTAAAGTTTTGTATTAAAACAAAAAATGTTATTATTAATGAATTATATAATTTGCAACAATAAATCTTTTTTTTTGTTTAATAATCAACCAACCGTAATTATTTATCAAACATCTTGCAAAGTTAATTGTACTGCACACGTGTATATACAAATCATAGGAAGTTTGCGATTTGTATAGTTTCGAATGCTGAGCAAAGTTGTTTATGTCCCTGCGCGCGACCGACTATGGTGTCGCTTTTGGCCTGCACGTTTGGAAATTAGATCATAAGGGAAGGGGTTGAAGATTCCATTCTGCAGGAATTTGCAGTATATCTTGTCAGTGTGGGTGTTGACATGTATCAGCCAAACTAAATGAATGATAAAATTTTACATCATTGAATGGAAACTTTATGTTCGAAAAGAACAACCAATCTAATCTTTGACAGCTAATCATAGTTGAACAGTTAATCAAAATTATGACATTGTTTTGCAGATACTATCCATAAAGCTTCTTCAGATGTTAAATTAGATTTTAATAAACCTTTCACATTCTCAGAAATTTTTCTTTTTTTAGTTAATGACTTAAATTCCTACCCAGTTCTCAAAAGTTTCAAAATTCAGATAGCTTTTTTTTTTTACATTGCATTATTATTCTTCTCAGCAGATGACACTATGTTAATTTTTGCTTCACTTTGCCCATTGATTTCCCTATCAAATGATTGTTGCTTCTCCCACTTTTGCAGAAAAAATTTGTTCCTGATGAAGAAGAACCATCCATCATCTTCTTGAACTGGATTAGGTTTTATTCAAAATCTATTCCAATGTATGATTGCATTTTTGCATAATTTTGAACTACGGCATAGTTATTTTTTATGGCATTTCTATAAAACTAAATTTATTAATACATGCCCAAGAACTTTCAAACTATATATAAAAAAAAATTATCCAGAAACTGAAAATATCTTCAGTAATTTAACTCGTTAAAGTGAAAATTTATTGTTAAGTGAACTGTGCTGTAAAAGGAAATTATTTTCTTAATGAGGTAGTTGATTTATGCTGTAATTGGTGATGAAAAATAAACCAAATATGTTTAGGCAGATTTTTTAAATCAATATAGCTGAAAATTGTAACAAGAGGAACCATAATTGTGGAGTTTACCAATGTCATGAGAATAAATGTATTTAATGTACTTGTAAGGTCTGTATTTTTATGTAGGATATTTTTTAACAAAATCATCTCTTATAAAAATTATGTCTTAATTGATGTTGAAAATTTGATAGATTACTAAAATTCATAAGCTCATCTTTTACGATTGCAATTTTTTTTTCTTCCGTGTATTTTTATGTGTGAATTTTGAATGAATTTTAATACTAAAATAGTTTAATCTTACAACTTGTATTAAGAGTTTTGAAAAATTTCTCTTTTTTTTTTTCAGTGGCGTATTAGTAAGATATGGTACACCTTCAGATCGACTATCTGAAATTGTGGCCACATCTGGTAGTGCATATATTTACTTTTATAGTGACGCTGCATATAATATGAGTGGTGTGAATATTACGTATAGGTAAGTTTTTCAGTCATGTAGTTTATTATTTTTGTTTAAGTAAAAATGACCGCTTGAGTACTATTTTTGTTTATCCTTGGTATAAAAATGGCAAGAAAATCAACCATAAAAAGTCAGATTTTTTTAATTAAATTAAAAAAAAAATTAAATTAAATTTGAAATTTTTTCCTTCATTAACTTACTAATTGTGTGCGTGCATTAAAAGTTTTTGATGTAATTAAACCTTTAATTTGATGATATTCAGAAGTATAATACATATTTTAACAAATTAATATAATAGTTAAAGCTATAAATTGCACAATTTTTTAAAATTAAAAACATTGAAAACAAAAAATAGCCTTTTGTCATTAGTAACTTGCAGAGTGACTTTAATCACATTATATTTGCATTACTGCCATTTGCACTCAGTGCTTTAAATTAAATAACAAGTTTTGCTGCCTTTTCAGCCCCTAACCTGATTTCTCAATTTGTTGTATGCAATTCCAAAAGTAGAAAATATTATGTGAGTTCCTGCTGATAAAGATTTTACTGTGCTTAAAATTTTAATGGCATGCAGTTCATGTACCCCAGCACATTCTTTCACAAGAGTTATTGGTTGCTTCTGTTGAAGTGTGACACTGACTCAACTTCCTCATTTTCAAAAAGAATCCCACTGAAAGTTGCATGCAGCATAAAATATTTCAATAAAATGCTGAACAAAGCAGTGTCTGCATATTTTTCTTTTCCTTATTCAAATGCCTTTTCTTTGACACTTGATAGTAAGACTTCATCTTTTATTTGTCAGCCTTTTATTGAACTGTTAAGTTTTAGTTTATGAATGTAAAAAACTACTTTTATTCAAGTTCTGGTATTTACCAACATTTTCTATGCTTTTAGTTGTTGAATTAATAAAGCATGTTAGAAAATAATCTAAATTTAAATAAATGTTTATATGTGTTTTTCGAGTTTTGGAAAGGAAGGGGGAATGATCTAGCTATGGTGAAAGGGGTGCAGTGGGCAAAAAATGTTGAGAACCAATGTTATAGAGTTTTTTTTGGTGCTTGTTATACCCTTCTGAAATTGGAGGGAAAATAGCTGAGAACATTAGATTATTTCCCAACATTTATGTTAGCTGCAGAGTTGCCAACTCTCCCGATTTTTGACTGCTCTCCTGCCAACCCGATTTACAATATATTTCTCCTGACTTTTTCTTATTAAAATTTCTCACGATTTTTATGGAACTTGGCTTAATACTTCATTATATGAATGGAAAAAAAAGTGATTTTGGACGTCTGAAAGCAACTGAATTTTCTCTAGATTATATCTATAACAAAACCTTGTGAGTCAGATAAGAATTTCTGCTTTGTGAGTGACAGCATACGTATCCAGAAACGTCGTTCTCCAGTTCTCCGATGGGCATCGAGCTCCACTGCATGTCATCTGGCATATATTACCCAATGAGCACAAAGCAAGCTCAAGGCTGTTATTTGGATGTTCTTTAGTTATTTTGTTCATCTTGTCCTGAGTTGTGTGAGTACACGTGCCTTCGGAAAATAGTTTTAGAAATTATCATCTTTTGTTATGTGTGCGAGAAAGGTGAAATACTTGTCCACGTTTCAAAAATCGTACACAGTTGACTTTCCTTCCATTATTTCCTCAAGGAAATGTAATAAATTTGCGATTTGTAATGTCTGTCATTGCGATTTTTCGATTTCGCGTGGTGGAAGGGTGGATGTTCTCAAACATGTGCATACACAAAAACACAAGGACAACGTGAGTTGTTTGGATAAAAACGAAAAATTGAATTTTTCTTCGGAAACAAGGCCCAAAAAGTCATTAATGCAGAATGTCTGTTTTCTGCCTTTTTACCGAAGTACAACCTGTCACTGAATGCATCGGATCATGCTGCAGCTTTATTTAGAAAAATGTTTCCCGATAGTGAAATCGCTAAGAAGTACTCAAGTGCAAGGGCCAAAACAGGTGCAATTGTTAAAGAAATGGGTTTGAAAAATAATCTTCACTTAATGATTGCATGGTGAACCTGCCACCTCTTAAATTTAGCAGCTGAAAAAAGGGCAGCTTCTCTACCAATAAATGTGGATGAACACATTGTTGACATTATTATTTATTATCTTGAAGGGAGTTCTAAAAGGAAGGAAAAATTGAAACAGTTCCAACAGCTGCATAGTACTGAAATGAGACAAATTTTGAAACGTGTGTACACGCTGGCTGTCTTTAAAGAAATGCTTACCTAGAATCCTTGATCAATGGAACCCACTTCTTTTATTTTTTAAGGAAGAAGTAAATGCTTGGAGAGTTAAGATAAAAGGCTGTATTGAAAGTTATAAAATACCTAAAGTAAATGGAGATGTAGTTACTACTTTCATTGTTAAAAATAGGTTTGAGAAAAATAAAGTAATTTCTGCACTATTCAGCAATTCATCTGGCAGTTCTCAAAATAATACTGCAAAATATAAGCGTAAAGCTGATACAAATTTCTCTCAAAATAAAAAAAATTGCTCAACACGCGAAACCTTTTTCCGATTATTGTAAGTTTATCTTGTGAAGAACGAATATTTATGTTTTTTTCTTCAGACCTTAACAAAGCTTTTTGCTTTTTTTCACAATTCGTTTTGCCATCATTTGATGTTCTTAACACAGTTCTACAAAGCAGAATTCCATTAATTCATGTTTTGCAATCAATGATTTATGATCTGTTTAAAGACATTTTATCAAAGTTTATAAAACCAGTCTGTGTTTTGTCTTGTAATTCTATATATGATGTGATTTATGGTGAAATAGAAAATCAGAAGAAAGATGAGGATTTGGTAATAGGAGCTGCAATTACAAAAGTAAGTTTTATCTTCATTTCAGAAGTTACTTCTGTCGAGTATGTGATTACATACTACATAAATTTCCAGTCAACAATGAAGTGATTTTGCATGCTAAAGTTGCTGATGTTTCTGCTCTAGCAAATGCATCTTTTTCTGATATAAGGTACTTTTTGAACAGATTTCCTGTGTTACTTCATTTAGTCATGAAAGATGATGATATTGCCACTGATAATATTGCAGTTGCAATTTTGCAGTTTACAATTAAAAAACTTGAATGAGGTTATGAAATCAGCTAGGATTGACACCCAGTGGAGTTTAATTGGAAAACTGAAAGGTGCTGATGGAATTTTAAAATCTAGTGAACAGTCTAGAATTATGTTGGCCATCTTGACAGTTCCCCGTAGTAATGCAGAGTGTGAGAGGATTTTCAGTGTTGTTGCAAAAACGAGGACTAAATTTAGATCTAATATTAGTGATGACACATTAGAAAAACTTTTATTAGCGAAAGCAGTCCTACGGAGCAATTGCTATGAACAAAATTATGAAGTTTCTTTCTTAATGAAAGCAAAATCTGCCACTGTTTATAACATTTGTAGGAAAGCTGATTAAAGTGTCTTTTTTTTTTTTTTTTTTTTTTTTTAAATGATGCAAGTAATAAAAATGTTTTTTATATGTAAGGTATTTTTGTGTTGCTTGCATTTAAGAATTAGTAGCTGTTAAAGTTAGTTCATTATTAAAAACTATGTTTTTGCCATTTAAAAAGTCTTTTTAACATTGTGAAAAGTCTTTGATTTCTTTAAAAAAATCTCCTGATTTTTGAGTGTCATAGGTTGGCAAATATGTAGCTGAAAAGAAAAAAATATGGTTGAATAAGCAGTTCATAACAATGAAATGATGAGTTTTTAAACTAAAGAAAAATCACAATCAAAAGACTACTGAGAAATGACTTATTACTCGTTAGGAAATGTTGAAAGAAGGGATAAAATGTTTGCAATTGTGCTGTACTGAAATCTGAAATAAGATTATTTCAGTCTGAGTCTGGAAGGTTAAACGCTATAAATTATCTTTTAATTTTGAAATCCATTCAGAGTACATCATACTGTATTCCTTTACTGGTTGATGATACTGATTTTTTTCCTATACAGGTTGATGAATGAAAAATATCAAGAATTTGCCTTTCAAATAAGACAAAAAATGTATTGAATTTCTGATGTTATATGTTAATTAGAGAAATGAATTGTAGTAGTAACTCCAACATGTTCCAGTTTCCTTTAAAATACTCAAAAAGTACAAAATCTGTGTAATTTTATTTGAAAACCATTTTCATGCCACATTTCAGCTCTCTCACTTGTTAAAATTTTAAAAATAGAAATCTAATATTACCTGTGTTTAGTATAATAATCTGTTCCTGATCCTTTTTCACATGCATCTAGAGTTTCCAGTATTAAGTGGTTTAGCAATTTCTGGAACAAATAGGGTATTTGAATTAATTGTCGCTGTTTGTTGGACAGAAAACATTCAAAGTAGTATCTTTTGGCAGCTACAATCTTTTCCCACTTTTTAGATAAAAATGTATTCCATGATAAAAATTTCCTGTTCTTTTGAGCTGATCCACCCAGAGAGCCAGTTTTCCAGATTGTTAAAGGATGTGAAATGTTGCTCAGAGAGGCCTTGTTGCATGAACCGAAACAAATGGTTAACCGGAAGGGGCGATGCCAGATGAATATGGTGGGTGGTTTAAGGCATCCTGTGGAAGTCTTTTTAAGGTTTCCTTCACTCGGTTTGCAACATGTGATTTGGCATTATCATTAAGCAGAATTGAAGGGCTTGCAGCAAGAAGGGCTCAGCTCCACATTTTGAAATTTTTGAAAAATTAAAAAATTTCAAAGATTTATTTTTTAACTTGTGTTCTAAATATTTGTCATCATTAAAAGTACTAGTAAAAAAGGATTTTTTATGGCTACTCCAATGGCTTTTTACTCCAATCTAAAGAACGATTTTTTTTAACAAAAAAGACCCATGAACAAAAAATCTACCAAAGTGGAGCTGGGTCCTTCTTGCTGCAAGCCTTTCAATTTGTCATGTATCTGAGCATATTGCAGGCATTTGTTGTTAAGTGCGCAGTTGAGCAACTGTGCTTCATAGCATTCATTATTCATTGTTTGACCCAGTTGCAGCAGCTTATGGTATATCATATTGGCTTGATCTCAGCAAATGCCACTGCTTGCCATGAATATACAATTTTGATATTGCTGTTGATGGTTCATCGCAATGCGCCCATGATTTGTTACGCTTCTGATTGTTGTAATGAATCCACTTTTCATCACCAGTTACTATGACATGTAAAAATGACTTGCTGCACATTGTTTCCAGCAGAGCATGTTATCCATACACTTCCACTAGCAAACAGGGATTTTTCTACAACAGATTTCTTCAGATGAAAGCACAAGAGTAACACTTTCTGTAAATGCTCTTTTTTAGGTAATAAGCCCGACATGTTCAAGGCACCATAAATAGATATGTTCTTTACACTTTACTTGATCTGCATACAGATCTGAAAGCCTAGTGTTTCTACTGTTCAATGTGCCTCGTGTTACTTTTGGCTGTGCTGCACTAGTGCAACTACTGCCCTTTCTGGGTCAACAATGAGAATTAATTCAAGCTGTCAATATTATGCAATCTAATTATCTTTAATCTTGACTAGGGAACTTCCTATTACTGTCTTTACTTGATCATGTATTATTAAAAAAAAATTTCCCCCCCCCGTTTTTTTTTTTTCAGCATAAACAGTTGTCCTAAGAATTGTTCAGGTCGTGGTCCATGTGTTGATGGCTTTTGTACATGCTGGGCCAGTTGGACAGGGGAGGCATGCGATGTTCCCATTTGTCCTCATAATTGTCAAAACAATGGTTATTGTGATCCTGAGCACCACAAGTGTATTTGTAAACCAGCCTACACTGGTAAGATGGTTTTTAAGGTAATATTTTCAATTTAAACTCTAATTGACTTCAGTTTTTGCAGTAATTCCTTCTGTTATGTGTAAAATATTATATAGTGATAAAATTTGAGTGGTAGATACAGTACAGTGTCTGAAATATAATATTGTTGGGACTATGGCAATTTCAATCCAAATTTCAGAAATTTGCAGATTTTATATCATCAGTTTAAATCTAATAAGATGACATGTAGAAATTATAAAATTAAAGGTATGAAATAGCAGTTAATAAAATAATGAAGTATACATGATTTTAAGGGAATGGAAATTTACCAAAGAAAATATTAATACTTTCTCTTTAATTTTATAGACAGACAAAACATCTTGTTTAGTTACAAAGCTCCATTGTTCAAGTTCTGTAAGTAGTACTGTGATGAGATTTACCACTAAACTGTCAATCAAAGTTTTTTCATTTTCGAAAACCTCGAAGCCATATTTTCTGGATTTAAAACTGTACCATACATTTCACCAACCGTTAGTTGCTCAATGATTGGAATATTGTCATTGCAGTGGAAAATTTGTATTATATCGTCTTCATCTATTATCTTTTCTTTACATGTTCTAATAATTCTAAAATTTCCGTAGTGTTCAAAATCTATGCCTAAATTAAGTTGTTTTGTTTTTATTACTTATTTGAGTCTCTATTTTCACAATTTACATTCTTTAAGATGACATTTACATTATTAAAGTAAGGGTCCACCAGCGGCCGAGCAGAAAAGTCACTGAACACTGGTAGTTTGGTCCGAGGTTCGAATCCAGCAAACGGGCTGGCTGCATGGGTGTTTTTGTGGTTTCCCCATGTGTAACGTGTATACAAGCCAGTTTTCCTTAGAAAGTCCTCCACGAAGGCATCCCTCCCCGTAGGCAGATAGCCCTAGTGTGCTTTGCCATAATTAAATACACCACACCACACCACACCACCACACCATTATTAAAGTAAGAAAGCAAAATATCTTAGATTATAAGCTAATATATGCCAAGTACAAAAAAACGTGATGGCGAGATACAGTCATGGTTCTATGGGAGTTAGGCCTGAATTGTGCTACAGCTGTTTTCCCTCTGGAAGGCTTCTACAGAAGGCAAATGACAAGTATGCTTTAACTTTGATGATTATGCTACAAAAGTAGAGATTTTTAGGCATAATCAGAAATTCAGACTTAATTTTGATAAAATATTTGTAATAATATAGCTTGCAAAGAATAATAAGGGAGATCTGTATCAAGTCTTCAAGGAAGTCAAGTCGTTCAAGTATGTCAAGGAAGAGTGCAGTTTGCTATATTAACTTCAGTTCTTCAGAATCTAATGCTTTTTTTTCCTGCTATGCCAATAAAAGAAAACCAGTATGAGCAATATCCCATTGCAAACAAGTATGTTTCATTTATTTCATAACAACGTTTAATCTATTTAGATCCAGGTAGAAAAATGTTAACTCCCCTCCACATCACTGAAGGTCTGAAAGTGTGATTGTGGCAAATATCAATCAGTGTAATGTCATTGGGCATGGTGTGATTCCTTAATCAGCAGGTGTTTGAAAGTCACATACAAGAATCTCAGTTGAGAGAAAAATTCCCTTTATCGTGCTTTTTTTTTTAAGTAGTCTGTTTTTAGACTAAGTTAAAAAAAAAAAAAAAAAAAAAAAAAAAACAAAGCACTCCTGGCTGCTGGTCTAGAGGTCTGGGTATTGGACATTTGGATTTCCGATTTTGTTCTGTACACCTTCTGCATATTTTTTTCTAAAACTTGGAAATTTTATTATCTTTGTTAAAACTGTTTTATGAGATTTTTGTTTAAAGAATATAATAGTTGTTAAAGCAATCCTTCTGAATGTTATTTCAGTACTCATATTAGCAGAAAATGTAATATTTTGACGAAAATATTAGGAATGAATGAATATCTTATAGTTTAGTGTAATTTTCACATTTTAAAAAATTCCGTATTATTTACATATTTTGATGATATGTAAAATAAGAATAAAAATGTTATTTCATTAGATGTATGCATACTTCCCAAATTATGTTATAGTTAACATTAGCACTGAAGTCATGTACAAGTTTAAAGTACAATCTTTTATCCATCAGCTGTAGAGAAGAAGTTGAAAATTTTGACTAATGGTGTAGCTGTATGATAATAAATATCAGTAATGAGTAAAAAGGTATTTGTAAAGGTATTTGGGAAAAATTAGAGGAATTTATTTTTATCCTTTCTTACATTCTTGTGAAGTTTTTGTCACTTCCAAACAGAAGGTTTTTAACTAATGTACTCTTGAATTCTGCTACTTGCTGTTAAAAGTTTTATTATAAAAAGCTCATGTTTGTCCCAATTTTTAGTTTCATTGTTAGAAGGTAGAAAAGTGTAAAATTACAATCTTATTGCAGATTCGTTTAGTTTAATAAGAGTGATTGCCAGCATACAGAGAATACATATATATATGTGATTAATTTCATTGTTTCACTTATTTATTGCGGTTTCTTTTGGTCTTAAATTTAAGCACTTGATGTTTTTGGATTGTGTTACTTTTACTTGAAAGTTCGATAAAGGCAATTTTTTAAAAATCTTTTGTTTTGTTCTGAATCTGGATATTTTTACTTCAAGTTTTTTTTTTTTTTTTTTTGTTTTTTTGTTTTGTTTTGTTGTTGAATGCAACATTAGAATGTCACTTATTTGTTTGCTTGTATTCAACTGTTTCTTGAATAGCTTGATAGTTAGCACTGGTCTGATGCACTGGTGTCCTTGAATTCAGATCGCTCAATAAAGCATGAATGTGTGTGGCTTTTAACTGAGGCACTTAAAATCTTTTATCTTAAAAGTTAGTGTAATGCAAAAGAGGAACAAGATCCATGGATTGCGTATCACAGGTTGCTTTTAAGCAAAACCTAGACTGGGTGTTGGAGTGCAGCTTTTTTATGATTTCCCTTTTTAGGTGAAGAATCCATTTTCAGTCTAGTTATATATATTTGATTTTTATTCCATGTGTAAAGTTATTTAGGCTAGTTTTTGATGGGAATGTGACTTCAGTAAACCTACTTAGCAAAATTTTGTGCTGCAGCGTCATAGTTATAATGGTATTCAGAGTTGGGTTAATGTTTTTCCCCGTAGTTATTTCATGAAAGAATTAAATAATATATAGCTTCATAATAATAAAACAAAGTGAGCATTCACATAGTACTTTCTGCTTAACATGATTACTGCTTAGTTAATGTTTGTTGAGTTGACCTCTAAATTAAGCATGTTAGAGGTTCTAGCATCCTTCACAATTGCCATTCCACATGTAATTATTGCCTATCTGAAAACTGTGATTTTCTAACTGGGAGCCTCAGCTGTAATTATATTGTTTATACTTTATATGCTTTATGTAATAAATGAAAGTAATGCAAACATGTCACCTTGTAAAGATCACAGTGTCACAGTCATGCTGTAGGCATGTCTTAATGTCCATTTTTTGCATCGTCATATTGCAAGATCACACTGTGATGTTTATATGATGACTTCTTGTTATGTTAATGTGAAATTGCATTGTGATGTTGTGAAGTCACACCATGACATTTATGTTAAGTTACACTGCAGCATTGATGTAACATCACATTGCAACTGATGTAACAGAGTGACATGAATGTAACATGAAAAAATTGCATGCATATAATGTCACAGAAGATGTCAATGGATGTCCTGCAACATGGCATAACTTTTTAAATGACTAGTGTGATGTCACAGTACTCGTATTTTAGAGAATTCCTTCGGTAAAATGGATAACTGCAATGTTTTATTAACTCATAGTTCTGTAATATTTGAAATTTTTAAACTGTTGAAAATATTCAATATCATTGTGTGAAATTTTCTGATCGTAACTCATCCTATTAAGTTTGTATAACTGTAATTCACATATGATTTATTACATATCTTTAGAAAATAGTGTATCAGCAAATGCAAAATAAGTTATATATGGTCCAAAAGGGATCATACGGTCATTTTCTAAGCATATTACATCACAGATATTTTTAAGTATTACCCGTCCAGAAGCAACATAATTTTGCTTTGTTTCTCTAAAATTTAATATTTAAAGACACATTTTTCCAAAATTTCAAAATTGTATTAAAAATGAGGTCTTTTTTTATTATAGCATATATATTTCTTAATTTACCTCCCTAAAAAGTTCTAATTGTTTGGCTTTTAATACTATTTTTTAGTTTCCATTTCCCTCTTAATTGCTTTTTCTTGAATTAACTGAATTTAAATCTCAATGTCAGAAAGAAATTCAGTGTATAGACAGACATCATGACATTGAATTTCTGTACTTCCCCAATGAATTCATTATTTACTTTTTGTGTATTCTCAATACTTAACATTTTGGTTATGCATTTTACTTTTTGTGTATTATTTATTCTTAATTTAAATATCATTAAGTTTTGGGAATCCTTTAAACGTTTTTAATTTTTGAATTAGCATATAATGTCTTTTTCATTGTAATATTTTAATGTGTTTATTATTCAACTATACTCAATTCTTAGAATTATTTCAGCAATAATATAGTTTTTTTATTTCTTTTGTTGTATTTGTGATTGTTAAATTTATATATTTATATTCTATTCTGTATTTAGTGAATTAAAATATTTCTTCTATTGTATAGGGTTTGACTGTAGTTTTCGAATTGATGAGGGCTGGTGGGCAGAAGAGCCTGCAAAAGTCAAGATTCAAGGAAGAGCTTTGCATGAAGCAGTTGTTATTGGTGATGAAATGTGGGTTATTGGAGGAGAAAACTTTCATCACGCTAGCTTTCAAAACATGATAAGGTGAATTTTTACTACCTTTATTTATTAATTGTCCTCCTGTTTTACATGGCTGTGAACTGATAACTCAAAGGAGCAAAATTTTAATCAGTTTTCTTTGCTTCTTATTTATTTATTTGGTTTTTAAGATATTAAAAAAACTTACTCTAGAATAAAAAGGTAAAAAGTGAGGTGAATTTGTATGGTACCTATACTTATTTGTCAAAACAGATATATTGGTAGTATTAGTTATATTTGGATGAAACACCATTTGCAGTGTTAGTCATGCCTTATCTGTCATGACAGATAAGTCATGCCATATCTGCATGACTCACTTTATGGATAACTAAGAACTGATGACAAATGGCTCAATAATAGCATGCCATAATACGTGGAAACTACACTGAAAAGAGATAATAAAATTTCAGTTACAGGTTATGAGAACTTACAGGTGCTGTCTTCAGAAATGTCTGTTTTTGGAGCAACAAAAATAGAAAAAGCTTTAACACCAAATTGCACATGAAGGTAACAAAGTATTTATGTGTGAAAACATATGTAATTATGTACTAAGATGGAAACAATACTTTTGTAAGTTATGTGATGATGTCATATTTGGGTCATTAACAGATTGATGTTTAAAGCTAAAAGAAAACAAATAAAACTGATGTGACCATCCCAGACCTTTGCACAAACCTTACAGTTATTATTTATGCTTTTCAATTAGGTGGTCAGCCATTGTAGATGCTAGCAATGACCATTCTTCCCTTAGGGCAGTTTCCAACTCTGAGACTAGCTAAAAAGATAAATTTGCAGACAGTATGCCTGAGCTGTAAAAGATTTTCAGTGGGAGTAAGATCATGGGGAATAAATACAGCAGCCATTCCATATGAGAAAGGTCTCCCCACTCTCCAGGAACTCATTAATGATGTTGGCTGATTGGGGACAGGCATTATCATTCATAAGGAGGAAATCAGGAGCAACTGCTGTAGTGTAGTGCAGTGTCTCAGTAGGGTGAAGACTTCATCCTGATGCTGCACAGCCTTCACAGTATCATCTTTAAAGATGAGCCGCTAAGTGCGATATCCCCTTTAACTTCTAGCCCAGACCATGTTGCTGTTACATCTGAATTTTTGATTTTCAGTTATATTCTGGGCCTGGCTCTGTATACCTCGCTTTCTCCAGGCTCTTACACACCTGTTACTTGATTTCAAAACAAATCTGGACTTTTATGTTAACAGGATATTACAGCAATTTGAGACAGTGGAATTGAGATGTTAATGATACCACTTTAATCTTGCTGCTCTCTTTTGGGCAGTTGATATAAACAAACACTTCATACTTCTGCTTACAGCCTTTGGTACTAGCGTTACCATGTAACAGTAAAATCAGGGATACAGCAATTATGGAGGTTGCATGTTGATTCTGTTTGGTTACTGTACCAATGTACAGAATTTCAAAAAAGGGTGGCAACTCTTGTTGACCAGACATAGATCTTCAAACAGCCATTTGATACACTTGGAATTGTTTTCACATTTGAGAAAATGCCATCTGATCAATGACAAAGAAGAGAGCAACATCTTTGATTGACTGTTCTGCTACAGTTCTTCTGAGAGCATGTCAGCACTTTCTCTTTTCCTCCTTTTAGACATTAAAATGTGAATATCGTCAAAAGTTACCATACAAAAGTTATAAGCGTTTTGTGTGAGCATTTTAGTGATGCTTCTTAATCCATTCTGAAGGCTGGATATTTTAGTGACTTACTGATTATAGTGCATGTTTGGACAGTCATTTATGATGAGTTGTAACATATAATATTTGCATACTGCCATCTGCACTAGCGGTGATTTTCAGCTACTAAAATTCAACTATGCTTTTGAAAGTAGCTGATTTTTTTTACATGCTTAACTTTTGGAAGCCACTGCATTTAGGAAAATTTTGTACTTGTTATACAAAATCAAACACAAAACATGTGACTCTTGCATGACAAAAATTGACTGAGATATTTGATAGTAAAATTGTTAATTATATTTAAGAGCCATATACAAATTGGAGAGCAAAATATTTGCATATTTACTAAAATTAAGATATTTTTTAGGAAAAGATTTCTGATGTTAAGAGATTACGTGATGAATATATTTCTATGCGGATTATTATGGAAAATATTGATCATAATTTTTTTTCAAAATGAAGATTTTCGGAATCTTTCAGAATTGGTGTTTTAGAAAACACTGGCATGTTTCAACATTGGCTCATAATTAACTCGTAATATTTGCATTAATTAAATTGATGAATTTTTTTATGATTACCATATTATGATCCTGAGATAATAAAATTTTATGAGAATATTAATAATGTATGTTTAGACTTTGGAAGCTTTTTAAATTACTTGTGTGAAAATTCCTTCGGCATACCAGATGTAACAAAATTATAAATAAGAGAATTAATTAAATCAAAAAGAATATCATTCAATGGCATTTAAGGAGGAAAATATCAACCTCAAATTATTCTAATTTATGTATTAACTGACCCCTCAATGCAATTTCAAAATGAAGTCAGCTATTGTAAATTTCAAAGTTAAGTAACTCGCTTGGTTCTTTTTGCATGGGAAATTTTTTGTTTTATTTTTTATAATGAGAACAAAATTTTCCTAAATGTAAGTGTAGTGACTGAAGGAATGTGTGGAAAGTTAGATTTTTGTATTTTATGTGAATTAATTTTTTTAAAGAAAATAAGAAATACTGCAAGTAGAAGTATATAGCTCTGATTAACAGTTGCAAAAATAAAGGCTGGGGAAGGGCTCATGTGTACAGTCTGTATATTTTAATAGTGTGCATCCTGCTGACCATGTGTTTTGGCACATCTTTAAGGTACTGTACCATTAACTTCATTAGCCATCGGGATGTCTGTACTGACCTTCAACATCTACTGCCATGTTGGGTCTCTATCATCACGCATTAGAGGACATTTAGCAGGTTCCCAGTTCTGAGTTGAGACTCATCTGCAAACTCATCTTTCAATGGTCCTTCACTGATGCTTGGTCCAAGGTCTATGTTCTGTGCACCATGCTAAACAGGTCTTTTGTGTGCAAAAGTGAGTGGAGCGCAAACAGCGGGTATTCTTTCAAACAGATGATATCTTAGAGCTATTTGTTGGCTTTTCATGTATGCAATTGTCATTCAGTTAATCTTTTTTAAGAGCAGTCCATATAGGGCTAATTTGGTGGATGATTACTTTCTCTTATATTACGTGGGGGGATTGCCATGCTAAATGTCCAGACGTAAACCCCTACAGAATGTGCTGTAATATTCTTGGAAGGGCAGTTACAACTTGCTTTCTTGGTCTTAGGACAGCCCAGTGCTTGAAAATAGCATTGCTGCAGTAGGGCCAACTGCCACATCGCTACTGTAAATTGTCTTATTTCCAGTAGGAAGAGACTTCGTGACATCTGTAGGACTGTTAAAGGCAACCAAAGTTCATATTAGCTTCTGCAACCTCTGTTTTACAGCTTCCTTATGCATTGTCATGGATGTGTATAATGACTGTTATATGGTAAATGCTTTTGTATTTTATCAACCTATTGCCAAACCAGATTTCATTAATCAGTCCATCATTTCTGAAAATAAATAACCAAATGCGAAACTTCTGTTAATTTGAAAACTCAGGGTAGGTGGGCCATTTTTTTACACTTATTCATTACTTATTCATGTACAGTGCACAGAGGGAAATGACAGTTCTGTATATATCCTTGTTGGCTGATCAATAAAATTTAAATTTTCATCTTTTGAAAATGCAACTTAGGATGCGATTTCTAGATTTGGTTAGTTATGACTTTATTTGGCGCAGCCAAATTGGAATTTCTCGCCAAACTTTTTAATGGTTATCTTTGATGCTTTTGTATACAGAGTATTTTGGAAATGTATTAAAAATAGTCTCAGATGATTTGCAAGTTTTTATATATTATAATTAAAAAAATTTTCATAAAATTTATGAAATTCATGTAAAATTTTAATTAAAAAAATCAGATAAAAATGTCTTATTTTTGTTCTGATTTGTTTGAATTAAGTCAGAACTAGAATATATCAAAATAAAGCAGGTAAATTTAAATAAAAAAGCTATGTTATCTAGTAAATATTTAATTAACACTTAAAATTTTAGCACTCTTTTTAAAGAAACTACTTAAGCAATTTGAACAAAATCTGGTATTTTATCATAAAATCAAAATATGGAAAATAATCAACATTTTGTAGGGTTTATATTTATTTTAACTAACATTTATTTTAAGTTTAAACTATCTTTCCTGTCAATCCTTACTTTCCCCTGGAACTGCCAATGCCAGAATATGTAAATTTGAGTAGAACGCGCAAGCATTCAAATTATCAGCGGAAGTAGTATGATTTAAATAGAAGGAAACAAGTTCGGTGAGAGAGAGTTATTCTTACTTAGCGAGCGCGGAGGTAGTTATAGAGATTTGAAAAACCCCGCGTTGCGGCCTATGTGCTTGGCGGGAAGTAGTTGCAATTGTTCCAGTGAGCTTCAAGTCTGCTGAATTAGCAGCCGTATTGTAAAACACGGTGAGTTAGTTATTTGAGAGAGCCTCGTAGTTAGAATATTGTCTTTAATTTCTTTTCAGGTTTTTATTTTTATTTTGACTGCCGAGTTGGCACCGTTTGTAAGCGTCAAGAGAACGCAATTGTAAATTAGTACGTTGAATAAAAAGGGACTTAAACCCTTTATAAGACTCTGTGGTTTATACAAGCTTTCACAGTCACCTCTTGGTTGCGTGCTAGTTAGAGGCGCGCAACGTTATAATTTCATGTTTGAAAAAGTCAGTTTTGTCAAAATATGCATACTAGAATGATGCTGTAGGATAATTCCAGTTTTTATATACATTTTCAAGACATGGACAATGGAAGTTAAATTGTTGTTCCCTTTTTTGGTACAGTGCATATACCAGTTTTCATGTTTGATTGCCATTTCAGTGTAATGATTTTTTACGAGTGTTATGTTTTTCAAGAAGAGGAACACTGTGCATTATAACATGACACATGGACTGATTTCACTAAATGATGCTACTGAATTTAATAAGTGACATTTTGTCCTCTTATGCATGTAGTTCTGCATTTTTTAATTCCAACTTTTTATTTGAAAACATAAAATTTAAGGTTGGTTACTAATTTTCTGTCAACATGCTTTGGTGTCAAAATCTTGTTGCAAATTTTCTAGATATGGGAGACTTCATTTCTTTATCAGAGTAATCCAATTTTAAAGATAATTGTTCAAACATATGACATTTTTCTCCTATTGTAGCCATTCCTCATTGCTAAACATTTACTGATATTAGGCCATACACCAAAACATATTGTGTAACTGTTCTGAATATGATGGAGTTTCATTCAGATCAGTTCCTTTTTCTTCTTTTTTTTTGTGTGTGGGGGGGGCTGCAGCTCTAAAAGATGCACTTTTAAATAATTAATAATATTCTCGACTATTAAGAAATAACTCCATGATCTTGTGGAGGTATGTCATCAAGATAAATCCCATTTTGTTTTTGCCTCTGCCAATATCTGCTACCCAGGAAGAGCTGCCAGTCTTCTATAGTTTTACTGAGATTCTTATTGTTTATTTGATGTTTTCATGTTCTTAAATTACTTGTGTTTTTAATTAGATTACCGTGGAATGTTTATTAGTAATCAAAAGTTTATATCTTTGTTTAAAGTCTTTCTTAGAAATATTTTTTCGTATGTTTTAAATTCTTATGGTTTTTATAGGTATAATTTTGTTAGAAAAACATGGAAAATTGTGTCAAATAACTCTTCACTTGAGCCTTTATCAAGGTATTGTCATTCTGTTGTTGCTTATGAGGTGAGTTAATTTTCATGGATATAAAATATGCATAATATGTGCAGGCATTTCATATGCATATGAAGTTACATTAACATCTTATACATATATATATTATAAAAAAAATCTGCCAGTGCTATGTTTAAAATCCAAGTTTTTGCTTTGTACTGAAAATTCTTGCAAACATAATCTCAAATGCAAATTAAGGAGGGGGGTTTACATATTATTCCGTCAACCGTGAAAAGTTGGTGTTGATCCCGCTAAAGTTTGTTCCTGCATAATTTTGAAAGAAATAATGTCTCTTTTTTTCAATAATAAACAGTGAGAATTTGACATGCTTCATTTTTGTGCTTCTTGAAAAGGCATTCGTCTATTTCTACTATTTTGTTAAGCACTTTTGATTTTACTGGGATCTTTGTATAGAATGCTGTTAGTACATACTTCCCGCAAGTAATTGTTCCAATCTTTTACTGTTTCGTAGATCATATTGTCTCCATTAATACACACTCCATTAATACACACTCTAGTGAGACCTTATATCTTTGAAAATAACCACTGTTTGCTGTTTTGCAGAAAGAAAGCAGATCCTAAATTCTAATACTTTTTTCTTCAAAGCATAAGAAAAAAGTAACAGTAATAACAGTTAATGAGTCCTTACTCATAAAAGGGGAAAAAAAGTTGCAGGCAGTTGTTCCAATCGTTACTGTTTCATATTGAGTTGACAATGCTGTGTCTATTAACACACTTTTTTTTTTACCGTAAAATCTCATAACTAAAAATGATCCACTACTTGCTATTTTGTAGAAGGCAAATGCGAAATTTTTATCCTCCCCCCTAAATGCAATAACAATTAATTTTCATTGTTGTTCATAAAAAGGTGGCTTATTGATAATCACTTGGGCTTCATCAAACAAAAGCAGACATATGAGTGTGTTGTTACATCATGCTTATCCATAACAGGCACTAAATTGTGGTGTTTGGCATAAAAGTGAAGCAGCAACAAAACTGGAAAAATTAGGGTAATAGAGATTTAAAAGCATTAGGAAGTATTCAATTAAAATCATTAACTAAACATTGTAAATTTTTGTCAAAGTGAAAAGCTTCGAGGAAATCTTAAATCTCCAGTGGAAAAAGCTTTCTGGATAATTTTTGCAGACCCAAAGTTGAAAGCATATATTCCCTCTGTCCTATACTTGCTGACATTTACATGCATTATTTTGAAATCAAATTATTTGAGAAACTTACCTTTTCGTCTTTGGATTCGCTATGTTGACGACACTTTCACACTTTTTGATGGTAACAAAGAAGACTTATGACATATAATATCTATTATTAAATCTTATAATATCTATTATTAATTCAAATGATCCATCCATACAGTTCACATTTGAATCTCTTCCCTTCCTTAATATTCTTATAATCAACAATGAATATGATTTCACATCTACTGTTTATCATAAACCCTTTACTGTTCATTTGCCTCCTCATGCTATGTCATGTGACCTGACTAAGCAAAAAATGGCTTTTTTTACTATTACATTTTTTGCACTCTCAGAGCGTGTTCCTCTTAATCTCTATTTGATTACGAACTCAATTATTTGAGTTCATTGAGCAGTTGCCATTGACAGAGGATTTTGTCCCATGGTCATTGATAAAAAGCTTTTAAAAAGGTTTTCCATCCAAGAAAACATTCCACTTTTAGAAATAATGTTAATGACCTAGTTGTGCTTCCCTTTCATCCTTCTTCCAGTTACAAAATTGCAAGATTTCTCCAGAAGTTCAATTTTAAAGTAATTTTCTAGCCTATCAATAAAATTCATAGTTTAGTTCTTAAAGATACTATTTCTGACTTCAATTCTTAAGGAATTTATAGCATATCGTGGAAGTGTGGTTTGAGATATATCGGCCAAACCAAAAGAGCATTAAGGAACATGAATTTTATGTCCAAAAAGGTGAAATTTACAAGTCTTCGATTGCTATTCATTGTTGGAAATTTAATCACAATATTGACTTTGGGTCTGCAGAAATTATCTAGAAAGCTTCTTCCGCTGGAGAATTAGATTTTCTTTTCACATTCATAAAAATTTACCATGTTTAGCTAATAATTTAATTCAATCTTGCCTAATGCTTTTAAAACTCTATTATCCTAATTTTTCAATTTTCGTTATTATTCCTATTAATAGATGGCGCTACTATCTGGTCTCTCTCGACTGCCTTAGTGTATAAATATGTTTGTAACTTGGTTTTCCAGTTGCAGATTTGTTTGTTCTTGATGAAGAGGGGCTTTGTTGGCCCTCGAAGTCGATAGAATCTCTATGCTAAAAATCTGTGCCTAACACAGGCTGTTACTCCACACTTTTATGATTTTTTTTAAGGTTTGTTTCTCTTCTGTCTTGATTTTTGCTACCAACAGTTTCATGTTTGATGGGATAATACATAATTACCAAAAATGCTTCCATTTATGATATAGAGATTTAATTTTTGTTTGTGGTAAATTTTAAAAATGAAACAAAGGAATTAAAGGGCATATTAAAGTATGCAAATAATTATTACGCTTGTTATGTTTTTAACATTGTTTTGAAGGATAAAATGTTTGGAAGGTGTGCAAAGTTTCTAACATATTTCAATATTTTTCTACTTTGCAAATCATTGTCAAATTAATAAAACTCAATTTTATGCCATTTTCCAAATGAAAATTCATTTTATTGTCTTTTGTGTTCTTTCAGTAATTCAATATTGAATAATTTTTTTAGGGTAATTTATATATGTATGGTGGTATGTTGTATAATGGAACTGTTCTTAATGAGTTATGGCTATACAACACATCGGAGCGTTCTTGGCATTCGTTATCTAAATTAACAACAGATCAGAATTGTCATTCAGAGCCATGCAGTCCATTAGCTTCCATGGGGCATACAGCAACTGTAGTTGGAAACTACATGATTGTGATTTTTGGTCATAACCCTGTGTACGGCTATCTTAATACTGTTCAACAATATCATTTTGGTAAGTTATTTTTATGTATATTAACTTTTATTATGTCTATTCCAATCCTTTTACTGTTTCAAAGTTATGTTATTGGAAACACCAATTTTAATTACAACAGAACCAGACAAAGCAAGCATGGAATGGCATTTCTTTTTCAGATTCTCTCTTTTTGGCTGCACAATAGAAGTATGTTAAGAGAGTTGAGCTAATGTAGGAAAAGAAAATTTGTATATGGATACATGGCATGTGCTGTGTTGTTACTCTTCTTTTCCATTAAATGTTAACTTCTAGAAACGTTTTCTTGTTAGAAATGTTATAACTTTAGAATGGTATTCCGGTCTCATGTATGTTCATTTGCAGGAACCCTAAATATGAAAACATTTAACACAAAGCTAAGCCAGTGTAGTGCAAGTAAATGCAAATTTTAATGTAAATTTAAATGGTAATTAGAATTATTAATGTGAATGACAAATATGAAGTATGAACTATCATAATTAACCTATGAATATATATATATTTAACGTTTCTTTCATAGGTACAATTTACTACTACATTTGAAATAGATAGTTATACCCCTCTAATTGTCTGTGTCGTTTTCATGTGTTTAATATCAGTAGGTTTTTAATATCATCTAGATGTGTTTTAATATAAGGGCAAGTCAAATGAAAGTGAGCCAACCCCTCATCAGCAAGAATGGTTCGGTCCATCATCTGCGACGCATGCGCGTAGCACAGAGACAGCCTTCATTTACAAAAGTGGCGCGAAAGTGTGAGGTTAAAGTTCTTTAAGGCGCTCTTACACTGGGTTGAAGACGGTAGCGTGACATAATGGATGCTCCAAAAGAGGAACAGCGTGGTGTGGTCAGGTTTTTGACAGCTGAAGGTGTTTCCCAACATGAAATTAGTCGCCGTATGACTGCTGTGTTACGGTGAACATTGCATCGCATTGGCCACTGTGAAGCGTTGGAGCAAACGGTTCAGAGAAGGACGTGAAAGTTGCAAAGACGATCCAAGACCGGGCCAAAGCCACCTTGCAATCACCCCCGACACAATTGCACAGGTTGATGAGCTGATTAGACAAGAACGGAGGATATGCATCGATGAACTGGCAGAGTGTGTGAACATCAGTCACGGTTCGGTTCACACCATAATTCATGATCATCTCGGTTATCGGCTTTTGTGTGCTCAATGGATGCCCAAGATTTTGAACGACCGCCTGAAGACGGAGAGGTTCGGTGCTGCTTTTACTTATCTCATCCAGTATCACAATGAGGGTGACGACTTCTTGTCTGCAATTGTGACCGGAGACGAATCATGGTGCCACCACTACGAACCTGAAACACGCCGGCAAAGCTTACAGTGGAAACATTTGAATTCACCACCCCCGAAGAAAGCAAAGGCTGTCATTTCCTCGGGAAAGGTGCTATTGACTTTTTTTTTCGATCGTCAGGGGCCATTACTGATTGAATTTGCTAAACATGGAGAGACTATCAATAGTTTGCGATATTGTGCAACGCTGGATCGGCTGCGTGTTGCAATCAAGAACAAACGACCTGGAAGATTGACGAATGGTGTGATCTTGCTACACGACAATGCTTGTCCCCATGTCGCTGATGTGGTTAAGACAACTGGCAAAGTTCAAGTGGGACACGCTGCAACATCCTCCATACAGCCCAGATTTGTCGCCATGCGACTTTCACATTTTCGGGAAACTGAAAAAACATCTCAAGGGTACCAGATTCGTGTCAGACGCCGCCGTGAAGGAGTCGATTACAGATTTTTTGAATCGACAGCCCAAGGAGTTTTATGAGACGGGGATCACGCGGCTCATTTGTCAATGGGATAAATGTCTCAATGTTCATGGAGACTACCTTTAAATAAAGTACTCTGTTTGTCATATATTCACATTGGCTCACTTTCATTTGACTCGCTCTTGTATTTAGATAGCATATCTAAATTATTGAAACTTGACTAGAAGAGAAACCCTCTAATGTGACAATCAAAACTGTAAAAACAACTTTGTATTTAGCGTAAGTATATTGAAACACTCAATCGATTTCGAGGGCAGCTAAAGGTCCCTCCTCATCAGGAGAAAGAAATACGTAGAAAAGAAAACTAAAGCCGTTAAAAAATTTTCTGATTCCCATCAAAAAAAGCATTCCACTGTTAGAAATACTATTAATGACCTTGTCGTGCTTCCATTTTATCCTTCTATTAGCTATAAAATTGCACGGATTCTCCAGAAATTCAATTTTCAAATCAGTTTCTCCCCTATTAATAAAATTCACTCTTCGATTCTAAAAGATTGCGTTTCTGTCTTGAATTCTTGGGGAATTTATAGTATATCATATCAGTGTGGTTTAAGATATATTGGCCAAACAAAAAGAGTGTTGAAGTTTCGTATCAAGGAACATGAATCTTATGTCAGAAAAGGTGAAATTAACAAGTCTTCAATAGTGTATCATAGTTGGACATTTAACCATAATTTTGACTTTGGGTCTGCAAAAATTATCCAAAAGGCTTCTTCCATAGGTGAATTGGATTTTCTTGAGGCTTTTCATATTCACAAAGATTTAGCATGTTTAGTTAATGATTTTAAATCCAATCCAGTCCTTCCTAATTCCTTTAAAATTCTACTATCTTAATTCAGTTACTATTTTTCCCGATAGATGGCGTCACCTCCTCGCGTTTGGTACTACCAGAGGGTATAAAAATCCGTTCAGTGGTTGCTTTCCATTATTCGAAGTTCAGATTTTGAGCGTGAAGGTGCAGTTGCCTCTTGCTCCCTATTCTTAACTTCGCTAATTCTTTATCCTTTGTGTTACATGTTTGATCAGATAGCCTTGGCTCAGTAAAAGTAGGCGGCCAGTGTAAATCTGATTAAAAATCCGGTTGTAACCACGTGCAGTGCTGATAAGGACCACGTGTTTCTGAGACTCCTTTGCCGATGCTTAATTAGTTTTCTTTTTCTTCCTTTCAGGTATTTCTTTCTCCTGGATGAGGAGGGACCTTTAGCTGCCCTCGAAATCGATTGAGTGTTTCAATATACTTACGCTAAATACAAGGTTGTTCTTACGATTTTGATTATTGAAACTTTTTGTGATAAACCTTTTATGGTAAGGTGGTTTTGCAAAGTTGTCCATGTATGAGAGAATACATAACTTTGCAAGTTTAATTTGTGGGTATTTTGGTAAATTGGCAGCTGTAGCTAAAACTAACTGTAGATAGATACTTTCTGTAAGAAAAGTATCTTTTTGATTGAAAAATCTTCATATAACTGTTTGTTTGTGTTATGTTAATAACTTTAGTTATTACACTAATTAGTTTCTGGTAATATATATTGTCATTTTTGCTTACCTTGTTATATTTTGATGAAGGTAAGAACTGTGCTTAGCAAGAAAAATCGTAAGAGGTAATTGTTAATTTAGATTTCCTTTTTTATAATAAATGTTGTTGTGTTGCTACATTAAAATGTATTTACTTTTTTCTGAAGTGTATTGAGATGATTTATTTCAAAACAGAAATTAATATATATATAATAAATTACACCAAAATATTAGATATGTAATTTTATTTCTTTCTAGGTTCTAATCACTGGGAGTTAGTGTCAACAAAGGGAGCCATAGTGAAAGGTGGTTATGGTCACACGAGTGTGTATGACCGCGGAACACAAAGAATATATGTATATGGTGGTTATCATTCATATGGAGCTGAAGCTGCCCTTGTTGATTTCCTTTATGAATATAATTCATGGGAATATACATGGTAAGTTTTCTTTTTTTTTCGTATGCAGACTAGTGTTTAGTTTGGATTGTAGCATAGTTAGGACCGTAAAAATCAAGTTTATAAACAAATGCAGGGAAATTAGATTTCCTTCGTATTTGTACCTGGAATTAAAGTGGTGTTTTAGTGTCAGAACTTGTATGTTAATTTGGGAATTTCTAGTTTGTGTTTCAACTAGATATTAGAACTTATTTAGCAATGAACATATATTTCTGAATCGTGGATTTCGTATTACGTTTGTTAATAAATCATATAACTTAAGACTTTTGTTCATTATTGGTGCTTAATTTATTATTTAACTGCCTGTCATTAGCCATAAATATTTATTTTGTGGCATGCATAAAAGGCATTGAAAGTCTGTGTAAATCACTCCGTGAAAGAAAGGCCAGTAGTTGAAATGTAGTGCTCATATGTTGTGGTGGAAAAAGTGAAGCTAAAGCCATTGATAAGTTCTGTATTGTTAGTAAAGCAAAGGATGCACATTACACACAATTCTTTAGTTGGCATGAAACTTTATTACAGTACAAAGTCCGAAATCCGGACTCGTCAGGACTTCGGCGATTCCGAATTTGGTTTTTTCCCGGATATTAGATCATGAATTTAAATCTGGTAAGATGGCATGCATAAATTATACAATTAAACATATGAAATCTTAATTTATGAAATAAACAACAATTATGATCTAAAGAGTATCAAAATTTACAAAAAAAGCTTAATATTTATTTGTTTGCTTTATTAAACATTTCGTTCAATGCAAGTTGTTTAAGTTGCTTCCACAAAAAATTTAAAAAAGTTCCTTTTTCTTTTTTCTTATGTCATATGCAGTTGACTTTCCAATGCCATATTCCTCGCATAATTTTGAGACGGATATGCCTTTATTCATTTTTTGCAGCATTTTCACTTTTTGTTTAATGAACATCGAAACGTGGTTTCGCTTTGTAGATCCTTTGGCAGCTCCAGAATTGGGAACTCTTTTCGACATAATCGAAAGTTCAAGCTTAGTTTTTAAAAAATTGCTGTAATAATAACAGTCTGCGAAAAATAATAAGCTGGATCAACCTAAAATAGAGAGCAGTGCAGTCCGCTACATTAACTCAAATGCCTTAGAATCAGTAAACATAATTTTAGCCTAGCATCTGTTATACATTATTGGTTGTGTATCGCAAGATTGGCGACGAAAGATAAGTTATTTTGCTAAATTTTGTCTTGCTCCTCTTGCGTACTGAATTAAGCCTGAATTGTATTAGTTTAGTTATTTACTATACGTGCGTTTATTTCTTGCACATGCTTAAAATTAATCTGAGTCCTCAATAAATAAACTCCCACATATACTTAACGGTTTATCTAGGGCCGGCGCTAAATACCGCTCTAGTGCAGTCTCAATGAGTCCTAAATTCTGCTATAAAGTGCCTTCTAAGTTCTAAATTTTCACTATACCTAAAATTTGCATCCATCCTAAATCATAAAAAAACTTCTCATGCCATAATTTTTCCACTCGGTGCTTCCCCAAATTCCAAAAATTCCGTCTTCCCTAAATTCTGCCGTCCTGTGCCGACATATTCTGCCGCCGCTTCTGGGTTTATGGTGATTAACATATCAGTTTAGAAGTCAAACAACAGAAATCAGGGTTATATTTTCAAATTTTCATAGGAATAGTTTCGATGGTTTTAAATTAATATTTGTTCAGCGTGTTATTGTATCTTAACATATCAGTTATTCTTAATTAAAATAGCACTAAATGTAATCTTTTGGCCTTTGAGTTTCATTAACAAAATCCATTTTTAGCATATGAAAAGAAATTTTTGTCGAACTTTTCCTCGTCAACATTTCTTAGAACATTAAAAAATTTATAATCATCGCCAAGCGTAATGATAGCATAAAAGGTTGCCATACTCTTGTTATTCAATTATTAATATAAAAAAAAGTTTAGACATCACTGCAGGAGCTATTTCTGAAGCAGTCATGTATTGATAAACATGCGATGATGATAGTAAAATATAATAAATAATGACTTGCCAGGTCGGCGTCAGGGATGTAAAATAAGTGAATATTTTGGTAAGCGTGGCAAACAGTAGTAAACTGAGTGGAATGGAACATTTGAGATGTATGCTAAGCAGATACTCAGCTACGGAGCTAAATTATTAATCTCGCAATTTTATGCTTACATGGTTGTTTTTCCATAACGAGGTATTTTATTTAGTGCCTAAGTGAAATTAAGAATCGGAATTTTTAAGTGAAAATCTCCACATGCTTTATTATGGATGGAAAAATCTAACGTACAGCATACAAAAAAAAAAAAAAAAAAAAAAAAAAAAAAGTTTGTGGCTTTGAGGTCCGAATTTTAGATCATTGCGGATAATAGATGTCCAGATTTTGGACTTTGTACTGTACTGTATTTTGCTTATCAATTGCCATAATGTAGAAGGCAAGTTTAAAAAATGTTACCATGTTTTCTTTTTTCAAATGATGAAACAGTTTGTTTAAATAAGCATTTCCTCACAATTGTGATCCTGTCCAATATGGCAGATAATTTTCAAGGGCAGTCCAGTGTAATGTCAGCTATTTAAACTTTTCTTGGTAGCATAATAAATCACAGCCTTTGAAAGCCTTGTGATATAAGCTTTACAAGATGACCAGTAGCAGTCGGGCATCCTAGCTTAGTTACACCAGCTGTAGATATTTTACAGCCTGTTTCTGATTTTGCTTCCTCAACAATCAGAATTCTTAGTATATATTTTCTGAACAATTTACTTTTATTTGTATCGTAAACCTGTTCTGGACATAATTTTCCACCTGACACTTAATGAACTTGTTAAGAAATTTAGCTAGATCTTCCTGGTTTGTTTATCATTTTTTGTTTTATATTGCATGGAAAGTATCTGAAGGACTTGAGCCAGATGTTAGAATAATCATTCCTGTAATTTAAAATTCTAGTTCTATAGGAAAAAAATTAGCTTCTTCCTTCAGTAGACCTGTCAATGAATCAAGCCCTTCACTAAGGCATAGCTATCATCTATTAGTCAAACTTTTCCACTTCACTCTTTCCTTCATTTGTTGTTTACTTGATATACATCTGCTTTTGTTAATCGCTGCTTTCAAAGAGTTTATTCAATTTTTCTAACTGCTGGTTTATGTCATAAACTGTAGTTGCACTTGTAGCATGTGTGTTGCTTGCATCACACAGCCATGCTGCTGTCAAGGTTTTCAGCAGTTGTATCTTCTCTGTTACAGATAATTTATGTGTTTGTACTTATTGCATTGAAAAGCCCTTTAAATTTGTGTGAGTAATGACTAAAGCTAAATGTCTGCAGACTGATAAAAATGCACAAAATAAAAGTTGAAATGCCTTAGCAAATTTTGGTATGGGCTCTGAAATAATTGAGCTAGTTCCAGCTAGCAGGTGTGTGCAGTGGCTTAGAAAGTCTGAAATTAAACCGATCATAAGATTGAAGATTGTCAATCTTTGCCATTCCTGTTGTGAAAGAAGTAATAATCCTGATTGTTATGCTTTATACATATTTGGTGTATGTACAACTTTAATATTTTTGTTGAGGAAATTGGACACAGTGTGCAGATACCGCTAATGATTGTAAAAACGTTCTGAACAATAATGAGAAGGTAAACTTTACTGATAATGCAGTAAACCCCCCTGATTTTTATATTTATTGCTTCTGTGCTGCTTGTAGATTTTTAATATTTGGTGAAAAAAGAGCATTGCTATATAATTGATAACATGCAAACATTTTCACTTGCAGATTATTATATGATACTGTGTGGGTGTTAATATGCAAATACACGTAGGTTTAGAAATATTGTATATATCTCTTTGATGCTTAGTTGCAGACTACAATTCCAGTTTAAAAAGTCAAATTGAGTAATATAAGTTTTTCAGGCTGTGGCAATTTTTGTCACGTAACGTCTTATAGTAAAAATACGTCTGTAGAGAAAAATATCCATTAGTAAAATGTTGATTATAGTTTACTATGTTAAATGAAAAGATTTCCTCCCCGTAGCGCAATTTTTAAAATATGCGTAATTAATATTTCATTCAGAATTTCATGAAAAGGACTTATTTTTCCAAACTTTGTTGTGTAGTTATTCCCAAAGTCTGGTGGAAAAAAATATATGAGTTTGCATTGTTAAAGGCACTAATTGTGATTTAAATAAGTAAATTTGTTCAATATCTCAGTGGAATTTTGGCAGAAAGATGTGACACATTTTGTATTTAGCTGCTAAAGCATAAGAACATATTACTCATTGGAATTATGATGAATGAGTTGGCTATCTGGAATTTTTATGGTTTCTTTATATATATATCAGAATATGAGCCCTTAGATAAATTCTCTGAAATTGTGTCACTTTTCTCTTCCGTTAGGCAAATCACCTTGCATGTTTTGATAATAATTTGAATAAACTACTGAATAGAAATTATCTTGTAACTTTATTCTTTTATTATAATATAACTCTTCGACTAATAAAATTTTTCTTTATTGCTATTTAAATGAAGTTTTTGTCCTTTAGAAGCTTGTGAAAATTGGAAATAATAGCTTCACATAATTTTTTAATGTAATTTATTAAACTGTAGTTTACATTACTGTTAGTGTTTTAAATCATTTTATAATTATTGAAATATCTTTTTATGATTGTTTAAAAATCTCTTCCAGGGTTCTTTTGACTCCTAGTCAGTCACATCGATATTTGCATAGCAGTGTGATTTTGAATGGTATGATGCTTGTATTTGGAGGAAATACACATAATGGTACCTCCTATAGCAATGGTGGCCAGTGTTTTTCTGCTGATTTCCAGGCTTATGATATAGGTAAGTATCTATATTAGCCAATTAAATGTTATTTTGTTGTGCATTTAAGCCTTGATTTTTGAAGTGTACTTTTTCGTTTCGTTGAAACACAGCTTTAAAACAGCAAAATCTCTCTGCAATATAAAATTCTGTTAATCTGATCAAAAAATCCATCAGTAAAAAGTTCTGAGTTTAAATGATGCTTCCTAGTTCTACAGAGCGAGAAACCAAGTTCTGTTTTTGTTGCATACTTTTAGTTACTATAGTGAAGTGAATACTTTTATTTTTTCTCAAAAGAAAATTAATATTTCCTGCAAATAAAGAGACAATGCTGTACCTGCTTTTTTAAAATGACTTTCATGTATATTTTAAAAGAAATTATATTTATTTTCAGACTTTGCTGTTTGAAATTTGTGAATTTGTGTAACACTTCTCAAGGTATACTCAATGCTGTATTTTGTGAACAGTGTTATGCATATGCCACATATCATTGCTTGTGAGAGAATTTTGATCCTAAATATGCATATAACGATGCTTCCTTTTCCACCCACCATGCAGCTGTAACTCGGTTGTATGCTGTTTCTTTTATATCCCAGTCTTAAAAACCACCTGAAAGCTCATTCTTTTGGAGCAGTTGATAATGATACCCAGTAGGTGCCTTGAGGTATTTGAACAGCATTACAAATGAAGATGTCTTCCATTGATAAGAATGACAGCAATGCTGAAGTTTCTGTATTGAATTTAAAAATGTTTCTTGAAGAAAATAAATCTAAGTGTGTTCAATCCCTTTTTTGAAAAATTGGGACAGATCATATATTGTTTGAGACTGCTAAAAGCGTTGCATGATCAATAAAATTGCACAAATCTCTTTAATAGAATGTGATTTGTGAACAGATTATAAAAACCAGTTATTTATAGAGGTAACAGAATTTTTATGCTGAAGCTTCTAATATATATTAAACTAATGCTATTCTAAAGATGATTGATTTGAGCATAAAACTGAAATGAATTGCAGTATAAATCACAAATGACTTTAGTGTACACCAATAGCATGGAAAAAAGCATTTAATCCCTCTGTTCCAAATTTAAATTCTAACAGCCTGCCATTGTAACTCTTTAGACTTTCAAAAGAATATTTAGTTAGTGTGTTTTTTCCTGTTTTGCATATTATGTACTGTATTGTTAAGAAAATGTAAGCTAGTTAGAAAGTGTTAAGAGAAGCATGGGGAATCAAAGGTACACTTATAATACCATCTTGTGTTCATAATAAAAATTTTCTTTAATTCTGTTGTATTTTTTTTAAGCCGTTCAAGATGGGTGTGTCATATGTGCATTGGTAACAAATGTTCTCTCATGGGCGGAAGTACCATATATGAATCACCATTTAAAATCACTCTGAGGCAGTGTACATTTGACTTTTTATGCAGAACATTTATTTAGTATTTTTTATGCTACTAGATGTAGCTGTATGTATGTTACAATGAATTTTATTGAGAGTGATGTATGTTGACCTTCCTTTTTTATGAAATGTTTTTTATTTTTGGTATTTTGTTTCGGAATGAGAGCAAGATTCGTGGGTGTTGAGAGATGTTATGGCTTCATAACTGCATCAATTGATATAAACGAATGCACATGCTCTCGATGCTTTGGAATACTTTGTCCCTCCCCCCACTTTTGGAGGTTTTATTATTGCTCTTAAATTTTTTTCTTTAGCATTAAGACAGGTATTTTGTATGTTTAACGAAATATTTTTGCACCTAAATGGTAAAACATAAATGTTATTTAACAGAAGAATGTACATGAATGATAAATGAGTCTTTTTCTCACACTGATGACAGTGATAATATTTTTGCGGAACTGAAAAGTGATAGTTATAGTGATTTTTATTTCTTTGAAAAGATGTGGTAGCATATTCAGCTGCCTTACTAAGAAATTTTAGATAAATGTTTTCAGATATATGTTTCCTGTATAATTTTAATCAGTTGATTTCATATGTATTTAATTCTTTTTTTGAATTCCAGCATGTGATACCTGGCACACAATGAATTTTCCTTCTATTCATAATCAAAATATTGCCAGATTTGGTCATACAGCTGTGGTTTATAATGGGTAAGTATTTCCATTCAACTTATTCTTTTTGTGTTTTTTGCATCCTTAAATAATTCCATTATTATTTTTTGAATATATTTAAAAATCAAATCATAAGTCTTTGAATAACTTGACAACTTGTTTGGTTTTGTGCCATTATATATACATTTTGTTATTTAACATAGTTTCTCATTTAAAGTATTTTACTTTCTTATTTTGTATAATGATTAAGGTGTCCTACCAAACAGAAGATTATGAAAGCAAAGTGTAATATTAATAAGCCAAAAAATCTAGCTGAAATGCTTTATCTCTTATGAATGAGTAGATCCAAAATGTATGGCTAATACTGAGTTTGCATACAGTAATTAAATGCTTAAAATTTAAATTAGTAATTTCTTTTGCAGACACCAGTAACCTTAAGTACTAGCAAGGATATTATTGTGCATTGATATTTGTGTTTTGTCTTTTTATATAAATTTTCTCATGCCTATTTCACATGAATAATATTTTTGATGCATAACTAACAAAGCCGTTTGTTATAACAATTTAAGAATTCATTGAATTACTTAAAATATTTGCATTTACTTTGAATAGTGGAAAAGTTTTCTACCTCTTTTTTTGTGTGTGTTCAAGTGAACAACCAGTTTTAACATAAAAACAGGAATGCTATGTATTTCTGTTGATTTTAAGTGACATAATTAATCCATTATGATTCTTTCATTTGTAACGAAGGTATTGCAAAACAACATTGCTGAAGTTTCTGTAAACTTAAATTTCTGCTTAACTGCTTGTAATTTTGAGAAATTATGAAAAATTCCCCACTTCCTTAAAGTATTTCTTTTGTAATGTGTATTCTCAGTAAGTATATTGCATGTTGAATAGTTAGATAATAATAAAATTAACTGTTGAAGCATGGAATTTTCATAGATTTAATTTATTTAGGCATAGGCTCTCTGTTTTTTCAGAACCCAAGTTAATAGTTAAAAAAAAAAAAAAAGAACTTTAAAGTGTATTTCCAAGCAGAATAATTCCCAAAACATATATTTTTAGGCAAATATATGTTTATGTACTTGAAAAATAATATCTAAAATCTAAGAGGTGTTCAGAACCATGCTTCCCGTGTTTAGTATGCAGTTTTAAAATTTTTTTGTTTTACTTTTCTGTTTATTTGAGATTTTTATTTTTATTTTTATTTTTTTTATTTCTTACAGATAAGTGTAAAAGCACCTTTTCTAAGCTTCATGCATGTTTTTAAAATTAAGGTGTAGTATTTTTCATGTGAAGTTTATAAATTATGCTTTGAAAAATAAAGTAAAACTTTTTTAATGTTACATGGATCAGTAGTAGTAAGTTTATTGAAATATGCTGTGCAAATAGATACGTGCTATATTGAAAAATTTGTGTAGGTCCATGTTTCTTATCTAATTTATAACTCATTCTGACTCTATTTTAGCCGAGATTGCTACTTTTATGTCAGTTTGGCTCCCACCACAGTTCACTATGTTGCATTTTGTGAGGCATATTTTCTACAGACTTTTTTATGACATAAATTAAGTAAATAAAATGTTGTCACTGGAATGTGAGTCAAACTGACATAATAGGCTTTCTAATGATAAATGTAACGGATTATTTTCAGTTTTATGTATTCTGTATTGTAGTACTGCATTCTTAATCCTTTTCCTGTTTTTTAAATGCAATATTATTTAATGTTTTTTAGATCAATGTATGTGTTTGGTGGATTTAATGGACAGATGTTAAGTGATATACAAAAATTGACTCCAGGTATTATTGTTGATTTGCAATTTTTTAATTAGTATTTTGTGATTTTATTATTTTATCATAAACTTAGTATATGAGATTCCTGTATGAGAGGTAGGTACCGAGTATCATGTTTGTAATTGCATGTTATCTTATTTTGTTCCATTAATTTGTTAGGTTCCTGTGAAAAAAATGCCAACAGTGGAGCTTGTGAGAAAGCTGCACCTGGAATTAAATGTGTATGGAATTTTGAAAAGAAAATATGCCAACCGTTTTCTGTAACTTCAAAAGTAGCATCATATCACACATGTTCTAAAAGAGGAGGTAAAAATAACTTATGCTTTCAAAATATGTAATGAAACATCACACTATCATTCTTTCTATTATTGCATTAATTATTTTACTGCATTCAGATTTAGACATTCTAGAAAACTTCATCGAATATTAATTCATTTCATTATGAATTTAAGCTTTCTAATTCTGCTTATAACCTTTTGTAAATTCGACTCATTCTTGCGGTTTAAAAGCGTTGGTCAACAAATGAGATCCGGTTCTAAACTTCTCTTCTAGACATTGTAAACTTCTCTTCTAGTTGATGCCGCTAGCTTTGTGGGGGTAATTTTGTGCATCAAATTAGAAATTATTTTTCAGTTAAAATTTTAAAACTTTTAGAGATGTAATTTATAGTAGATCTCTTTGTAGTTGAACAATATTTTAGGATTTATGTAGTTTTTATGTACACTAAGCCACTCCAAGAAAGGGTTGATTCTAATTGACTAATTGGCAAAATTAAGCTTGCATTTTCCCCTTTAAAATGTGAATATGATATATATTAGAATGATGTATTGCATTATACTAACATATGTCTTTTAACACAAAATCGTTGGCTAATCTTTGGAATATGGTAACAGGTAGTTTGGCAAAATTTTGGTAAGGCGATAAAGGTTACTAGCTAGGACTTCAACAGTGTACATGGATAAAGTCAAGAGTGTGCACAATGCCATTTTTGTGCAATTCTGGCATGTTTTTTTTAAGTGAAAATAGGTCGACGTGTACATGGATGATACCGTATATGTGCAGTTCTTAAAAACGCGGCAAGCAGTGGGCGATTCTGCACTTTCTCCCAATTTTGCACCTAATCTTCATGATTAAGCACTTTTGTTCCATAAAAGTTCTAGCATAAGCGTAATTCGGCCAGCAGATTGTTGGAAAAAAATTTTGAGGAAAAAGAAAAAGTGCCTTTACTTTGTGAAAACAAAATGGTGTACAAAAAAAAAAACTATCAGGGTTGGTCGCCAAAAAATCGCCAAATTACCATAATCTGAAGATTAACCAAATCCTTTTTTTTTTTTTTTGAAATTCCAAGCTGATTTTCCCCCATATTTAAATTATGTACCTCAAATTGTACAGAAATGCCAGTTTTCGTAAAGATTTTAGGAGTATTCTTATGTGTATATTTTGCATTAGATTGTTGGTGCTGAAAATAATTTTACTTGGCTAATTTGTAATATACAGGGTAATTATAATTAAAGTTGCAATTTCAAAAAGCTCTAACTTTAAAACCACAGGTGAGAATGACTTGATATTTTACCAGAACAGTCCTGAGGTAATGGAAATTTGTTTGGCGAAGGGAAAAAATAGTTCCAAAATTTGTCGATAAATGGCGCTGTCAGTGTTCACATAGCTGTTGTGGATGTATAGCCGAAAGGAAACAATAAGACTCCCAGGGTTAACAACACTCCTCCTTTTTCTGCTGCTAATTGGAAGCTCAAAACTGCATGTTCCACAACAAATTGGAAGGTATCTGTGCTGATGCTATGAATGTGGTGCGAGATGCTAGCCTTGAAATCTGCCAGATTTGCAATCCGCCTACTGTAAACAACATTTTTCAGATATCTCCAAAGCCAACAGTCACACGGGTTTAAGTTGATACAGCATGGCAGCCACGCTGTTGGAAAATGGCGGCTTATAATTCTATCATCTTCAAAATGAGTGATCAGCAGCAGCTTCACACAGGTAGCAATGTTCGAAGGAACGGTATCTTGCAAGAATATCGTGCGATCCACACATTGACGTTGCTGAAGTGCTGGATGGACATGGTTGCGCAAATGTGCTTGATATCCAGGGAGGTTAGAAGACATCTAACCTCCTTGTTTATACTGCTTGCCTGTAACTGTGTAGGTAACGGGACCCGCGGGAGTGATCTCCTGAAAGACCGATGATGTACCACACAGTGACCTTTTCAGAGTGAAGAGATAGTGGTTGTAGCTGGAACGGATTCTCGGTTACCCATATCCTGCAGTTTTGTGTATTTACAGAACCTTGCAAATGAAAATGAGGTTCGTCAGACAACAGAATGTTCCAAGGCCATTCATTATCCACTTCCATCTGGGAAAGAAATTGTAGTGCAAATGATTCACTTGTTTCCAGGTAAGCAGGATTAAATTTATTTATAATTTTCAGCCAGCCATATGTGGTCATTGGGCCGGATTTTATGTCTTTTAATGTCCGTAACTTCCTGATAGCTGTTAATGCACAGTTATGATTCTGATAGGAAAGCTTCTCAAGAAGACCATGATACTTGTTTGTTAGAGTCATGATTTTTGGAAGCACTCAAGCAAAATGTTATGTGCGTCGTTAGTTTTCTTTCCTTTTTTCTCTTAGCCATGTCTGCAGTGTGCAAGTTACGGCTTATTAATTTTTATACCAATAGCAATGTGAACTCTGACAGTGCCATTTATTGGTATATTTTGAAACTATTTTTTTTTTCCTTCTCCAAACAAAATTCCATTGACTCACTTTTATTCTAGTAAAATATCAAGTCATTCTGACAAGATGTTTTAAAGTTAGAGCGTTTTTAAATCGCAACTTTAATTATTAGTAGTAGAATAACCCTGGCTTTTTCTTTTTAAATTCTTCAGTGAGTAACTGTGATGGCTTTAATGGAACTTTAAAGCTTGACTCACTAATTTTGTATCTTAATCACAATGTTTTGTTGTTTAAAAGAATAGTAAGTTTTTTTTAATCCGTACATTAAAAAATAGTTAAAATGTCGGAAAAATATTGAGTTTCTTTAAATAATAAAAAAAAAAAATTAAATAAATTGTATAATTTCCTAATAAAATGCGATACTTAGGTCATCTGCAATATCAAAGATGTGAAAGATGCAGAATTTGAATATGACAGCTAATGAAAGCTTGTCATGAAAGGGTGCAGAGAAGAAAAATATTACTTTAAGTTAGGTTTTAAATAAGTGGCAATAGATATAAAAGTTCCTTGAACGTTTTCTGTTATATTTATGTTTGAAATTTTGTTATTAACTATTAACACAATTATTATTTATAATGGATTTCTATTTTAAAATAATGAAGGCTAACAGGGACTATATCTAAAATGTTACGGGGATCATCATTTTAAGATGACAATCACTGAAAGTGACATATTTCTGAGAAAACAATTTAAAATTGTCAATTATCTTGAAGTCTAAAAACTTTAAATTGCATCCTCATGTTTCACTGAAGAGTTTACTATTAATTATTGAGAAGTTTAAAAAGAATTGAACATTAAAAAATAATTGATTGATGGCTGTCATGCAAACATTTTGGCTGTCATCTTAAAATATTGTCTGTTACTGTAAATGAATACTGTAAATAAAAATGTGATCTATTTTTTATCATTTTAAAACTAAATCTTTACAGTTGTTAAATAAAATTTAAATTCAGCTGAAATATAATATGAATTTCAAAAATTCAAATCTTTTTATCATTTCTTTTCTAAGCATAAAATAGCATACAGAGAAGAATTTCAAAGTATGAAAATGTATTACCATTTTGATAAAATTGAAAGAACTACATGTGGAGAAGTTTGGCTTCGGTGTATTGCAGGACATTTTTATTAATACCACTTAGGCTTCATTTTAAATGCAGACAAGAAGTAGAGTTCAAAATTTTGCACTCAGTGTGCATATACATATTTGCATAATGTATCAAAGATAATTGCGTAGTTTTTTACATAAATTTTATTTATTTTTCCAATGGTATAAAGTAACATTTATTGCAAAATATTATAAGAAGTGCAAAGATAAATTCTAATACTTCATTTTAAATCAAATATTCAATATAGCATTAGCAATGCTATATTAGTTGCTATTAAAATATAGCCAAGTTGCTATTAAATATAGTTAGTTGCTATTAAAATTTCAGGGACTTTTGGCTAATTTTAGATGCAAAATTGAAACACGTAAAAAAACTTTGGTTCATTAAAAAGGGGATTATTTTTTTGTGACAATGTGTGTGTTAGAACAGTATGTGCATAAGTCTAATATATGCCCTAGACATACTTTTGTTTGTATGAAATATGAAAAATTAATATGTTATAAAAAATTAAATTTGAATTCTCTTTCTCTGCTAACTGGAAAGGGAGATACAGAATTTAACCTTTTCTCCATGTAGTATTTGTGTGTACTGACTGATCTTAGTATTTCCATTGATGAACTTGTGGTGCAATGTGTGTGTATTTTTCATTTTGAGCAATAAGTTAGAGCATTTCACTTCATTCCATCCCTTTTCTTTTCTGAGTGTGTTAAAAAATTCTGGCAAAATTGTTCAAACTTATACTTTAGATCTTAACCTTGTAAACTCTACTGTAGATATTAATTTTATAATGCTATTTTTGAAATTCTCTTTAAACTTTCCAATAAAATTTTTTTCATTGTGATCACAGCTTACAATAAACTTTAATTTGCAGAGCAAAATCAAGCTGAGGTCTTAAACTCACATCCTAAATATAATAGACTGTTAGCCGTTTTCATTAAAAAAGTACTATTTAGTATTCCTTTCTGTGTATTTGCTGTCCATTTTTTTTCCTTTGTTAAAAAATTGCAAATGATGTAGACTGCTCAAGAACACTTCAGATTACTTATGATTGATCATTTGTAAAAAAATATGAATTATTATTTTGTTTCTTTTATAGCATATAAAATTTTCTGATATACATTATTATGAAAAGAATAGATTTGTTGTGTATGGTTAAAAATGGTCTTCTGTTTGTAATTAATTTTCTTCAGCTAACTTATAGCAGGTAGAAAATATAACTTTGACCAGAAATGTATATATTCTTAAACTTTCAAAATAAGTATTTTACTTTGTTTATTATCAGTAACTTATATTTGTGTAGACTATTAAATCTTTTGTTATAGCAAATGTTACATCCTTGTGTGGTCGGTTAACTTCATGTCCAAGTTGCTTGGAAAATACATATGGATGTGTGTGGTGTGGTTCATCTTGCTCTCATGGTCGATGTGGGAATAAAATAAAGGTAAATGTATGACCTTTTTATTTTCAAAGGTATTGGACATTTACTGAAGTTTCATTTTTGAGGAGTTTCTTAGCCATATATAACTTTGAGAAAGAATTTACGTAGTTACATTTTGTATATATTAACAATTGTGAAGCTATCCATTATTAAATAATGTGTAACATTTTATTTTTGTGGTGTAAATCAGAGAAGGAACTGTTTTCTATTAAAGAGAATAATTATTTTCTTCTGTTTTGCTGTTGCACTTTAGTTTCTAAATTTCGTCATAACCTTTCTCACTTTGTTGAAATTTGCAATGAAATTTCAGGATTAAAAAAAGTACAGGAATTGTGCATTTTAATATGTGAGAAAAAATGTTAACCACCATATTTTATGTGTTTATGAAATATATTTTGAGTTTAGAAAACTGGCCCTTAACTCATTGTATAAGTATGTTTGGTAAGAAATATATAAAGCCCACATGCAACTGGGCTGTTGCATAACCATTATTCTGCATTAGTAATATTTCATGTATGTTATTACATTCCAGTTGCTGACAAACATTTTTTAATGTGATAATACCTTACACAAACATTCTATTCAGTTGCTATAGTCATTAGTAAATGGTAAAGTTAGCTCTACATTTAAAGTGATAATCACTGCATTACCATTCATAATTTTCCCCTTTAACATGCTCAGATTATATCAGCAGCATTGCAGTGTTTTTAAGTATAGCAATAGTTAATGCAGCGAAAAGATTACTGTTTTAATATTGGGAATAAAACACATCGAAGTTAAGAACAGAATACAATTAATTGAATACAGTTCTGTTTTCTCAAGCAGAGTTTAGTTAATTGTTAATATACAAGGTGTGGCTATTAATTTCCAGGACTGCTCTAATAACATCAGAAGAGATGATGTGAGAAACGTAATCTTTTAATATGTTTCGAAGTAATCCCCCACCTGCTGTAATACACTTCTGTGCTCAGCTGTATAAGTTGTGGAAACAACTTTTAAAGTCCTCTTTCGAAAGGCTCTTCAATGTCGACATCACGTTCTTTTAGATGTCTTCAACATCCACAAAGCGTGTTCCTTTGATCACAGTTTTGAGTTTGGGAAGTAAAAGAAGTCTGCGGGGGGCAAAGTCAGGAGAGTATGGCGGATGGTGCAGCTCCACAACCTCATGTTTGGCCAAAAACCTTTTCACTGGCAACACAATGTGGGTGCAGGCATTGTCATGCAACGTGACGTCGACATTGAACAGCCTTCTGAAAGAGAACTTTAAAAGTTGTTTCTACGACTTATCCAGCCAAGCACAGAAGTGTATTACGGCAGATGGGGATTACTTCGAAACATATTAAAAGGGTACGTTTTTCACATCAACTGTTCTGGTGTTATAAGAGCAGTCCTGAAAATTAATAGCCACACCTTGTACATTTTCTCTCTTTGGAAAAACCTACTGTAAGCTAATAACATAAAAAACATTGAATAAGAAAGGAATGTAGTATGTCCAGGCAGATTTTCCTCCTCTTGAAAATCAATAAGAGAAAATTATATGAGGATTATCTTTTCTGAGGGAATCAGTTATAGGAAGAACTTAGTTAATTTGAAGGTCTATATGAATAGTTGTACTTGCATAACTTTGTTCTATATCTGAAAGAAAAATCATATATTCATTAGCTTCAATAATATGTTTTATCACCAAGCATACTTATGTCATACATTGCTGTCACAAATCAGAGGCTTCTAAATTATATGTACAAAAGGCTAATGGGTATATGTAAGTAAGTATGGTAATCCCTTGCTCATGTAGATGGTGTGCCTAGTGTTCTAATATTCACTTCAAGGTCACTTTTTAAATTCTGAGTATCACTTTTAGTTGTAGACTGTTTCTAAGCATGTTTTTATAATAAGGATGTCTATTTTATGCCATTATGCAGGAAACTTCTGAGTGTTCAACCAGTTTGTTATTGAATTTTACTTCTCATCATTTTTTGGGGGGATGGGGGTATATTGAGAACCATGTCAGTTTTTTTTGTTGAGAAAGACATGAATGTCACTTTGGTATATTATAAGGGTTGTAAGGATAAGTTCAGAAAACTCCTGTCTGTATTGCTGAATTTTTGACCTGCACATAGCTGAGTTCAGGTGTACTTTGTTTTGAAGAAAAATAATTCCTGACATGAGGGATCTTTGTTGTGGATTCTATATAACCTCAAGTTTGAAGGCATTTCATGGTAATTATCACTGGTATATTTGGGTGTTTTAGCTTGATGTAATCTACCAAAAGTATACCTTTTCATTCAGAAAACAGTGTCTAAATTCCTTTGTTGGCTTTGATTGATTATTTTTTTTAACTATTATTTATTTATTTTTTTGAAGTTATTAGTGCATGGATTATGGTTTTGCTTGAACACTGATATAAAAAAATCCATGTTTCATCACTAGTCATAATATCCCAAAATGGACAACTAGATGTAAACAGTTGGTTTTTTATATGCATCATCAGCATTTTATAAACCCATCTTTCACCCAATCATTTAGAAGATTTAAATTTTCAGTGACAGTTCAGTGTTCCATATATCATGAAATTTTTAGAAATTCAATAGCAAAGGCACGGTTGTGAAGTGCTATAGCTTCATGTACTGGCTTCCTTAAATTCACAAGACATTGTTTTTCTTTTGCACATTTCTGTAGGCTGATAAATTTGACTAAAAAATATGACTTTCGGCAACCTTAAGACTTTCCTTGAGAAATAAAATCAGGGGTAGCATGTCTTAGCTGGTGGTATTCTTTATTCTTGAAGCTGTTAGTATTAATTGCCACTTAAGTTTTTCTTTCAGTCAGCCTTTTTGCAGTATGACACAATAGTGTTTGTAAGTATTGTAGTAAGTTCAGATTAGTAATTTTTATAACCGCAGAGGTTCCAGTAGACTGAAATTAAAGGTATATTTAGATGTGATAGGAATAGATAGAATTCAACATAAAAGGTTTGGCGTAATAAAACCACTAACAGCAATTACAGCTACTAAGCTTACCTGCAACTAATGCAGTTCACTTAACTGCAGTGTAACTTACACACTCTCTAAAATACTACAGAACTCGAAATAAGACTAACTGCCTCCCAACTTAGTATGCATAATTCATTGAATTCTTTAATCAGTAGTGGTTCATATCACAGACCTGGTGAGCTACGCATTTTTTCATACATCTTTAAAACATGAAATCATTCTGTTAACATAGAAAAAACTGATTCTGCGATTATATCAACAACAGTAATAGGTAACGGTTTTAACATTTGCAATTTAAACATATCCATGTTAATACACAATAATGGAAGAACATATTAGCACTCTCATCTCACACTTCACTTTAAAAACATCAAGAATCATAACTCTGCAAATTCATGACAAGCATGTATCTGCATGCTTATGCATCAGAAACTGTAAAACAGAATCTGCACTGTTTAAATACTACATATATGTTAATATTGTTAATATGCTAGTTATCCTTCTAGAACAAAATATTCCATTACAAGTTACAAGGTTTGTTGGCTAGAATAAATATTATGATTTGAAAGTGCAATATATTATTTTGAGTACAGATTTGCAGTTTGTGTTTAGAACTAATTGAACACCTTTTAAGGTTTTTCATGGAAGTACGTTATGCTGCTCTCCATGTCCTAAGTGCTAAAAGCAGCTGCAAATGGTTCTGTAATTCTGTTTGAAATGCATTAAAATATTCAGATACATATACTACTATTTCGAAGAAGCAGAATACCTAGAATAAACATAGCTACAACTTGTTTTTTCCAGGTTTTGTAGAATAGGCAGTACAGAAGAAATAAATTAATAATGACATATTAATTTATTTCATTATTAATTTATTTCTTATTCATTTAAAATTAATTTATTAATGAAATGAATTAATGAAACATTAATTCAGAAGCTGTGCAGAAGCTTTCAGGCTTAAAGTATAACCTTGATATTTTAATAAGCACATTGTAGCTGAGTAGGAGTTTAATATTTGTTCAGTATTAAGTAAGAATATTTGCACTTTATGTAAGACAGTCATATAATCATGCCAGTGATTTTTAACAGAGGATCCATTACACAACAGAATTGAGTAACTTTAGCCACTTCTCGGGTTATCTTTGTCATCTCAATAACACATTGCCAAGCTGCTGCATTAAATGTCTTGTATCATTATCTGAGTTGTACATCATTATTTTTGATAAATCACTGTTTTTTTAAGTGAAAAATGATGATTATGTGTGTGTCTGCCACTAATGAAGCAAGAAATGTTAAGAAGATTGTATTCACACTCAGCATATGAATACAATGCGAATAAGGAGTATATTTGTATAGGACTATTGGATTGTACATCAACTTAACTCTCATAAGTTATAGTAGTCACAAGTGTTAGGTACTTCAATATCATTCTGCAACCATTTGCACTTCCATTCTTAGCACATGTCCCTGGGGTAATTATCCATCCAGATACCGCAAACTCCTTATACAATGGTGTAATACAAGCAATCTTCAGAGTATACAGTGTTCCACTTTCTTGACTAACTAGCTCATGTCGTTTATCCCTTATGCAACATGGATTAATACAGCATGGATGACTGTTTCTTAATTATTAAAATTTTAAGTAATTGTTACAGATATAGATTAAGCAGTTCAAGCTAGAGTTATTGCTCTGAATACCAACTATATCAACATACATTTGTTTGCAAATTACATGTATATTGTTTTGAAATGCAAATAATTTGTTTTATATTGCCTACTTTATGTATCTTTTAAAATGAAGTTGCAGCTACATCCATTCCAGGTGATCCTTTTTAATTTTTAGCACTATCATCTATGTAATTTTGTATAAGCATTTGTTTTATGTGTTTTATTCCCTTAAAAGCAATTGATTAAAAAAACAGCTTTTAAGTGCTCTACGGGAAAAAAATGCAGTTATGATATTTCATTTAAATCGTACAGATGTTTATCATACGTTAATGAACTCGTAAA